ATTTATTAAAAGTATGAGAAATTTTTCAAGATGAAAAACATAAATGTGATTAAGTTATATATACAGATTCATTTGTCGTAATACGAATAGGAAAACGATAATGCGGAGAAGGGTTAAAATTCAATCTGCAAGGTGCACCGAGATAGTCCCTCCTACGACTCGCTTGGAAATATTTCTTCGCGAGGGCGGATGGTACTGGAAGACTGCAATTTCATCGTTGCCATTGTTTCCCTCTCCCCTTTAGCGGGCATCGCGACTACATAATTAAGCGCGCCGGAAGGATGCGTAATGCACGAATAGATCCGCGTTGTTCGTACGGCGGAACACGAGCCACGATGGTCGTCCTATTACCCAAACGATCCACCCACGATCACGAATATTTGCGGAATCCTTCTTGTACACCCACACGAACGTAGTAGGATACTAGCAAATCGTTTCCTTAGTACTTACTATTCTCTTTCTCTTTTTCTTTCTTTCTTTTTCTTTCTCTCTGTCTCTCTTCCGTGCTTGTGCAATTCCATAAAATCGTGAATAGCGTCTTTACGCGAACGAAAGAAGAGAGAGAGAGAGAGAGAGAGAGAGAGAGAGAGAGAGAGAGAGAGAGAGAGAGAGAGAGAGAGAGAGAGAGAAAGAAAGAGAGAAGTTTAACATCCATCTCGTTATGTTTCTTGCGATCGTTCGTGCGTTCATTGTTATACCTAATTCTCGAATTTCTAAAAAAGAAATGAAATATCGATAGATACATTTTATATCACCATCGATTTATAAGATAGAAAATGCGATCGAAATGATTCGATTTTATATATGCGTGTAACAAAAATAAAATAAAAAAAAAAAAGAAAGAAAAAAGAAAAACAAAAAGAAAAGAAAGATAAAAGACTACAAGGAATAAAGATCGTAGACGTAAATATATCTATGTATGTACGTGAACGATAAAAACTGTCGTAAATCGAAGGCAATATTTATCTTACAAAGTGGTATCATTAAAATCAACGTCTTGCCCTTGTCCTTCGTTCGTTGTAAATAAACGTTATACATACATAAATAAATAAATACGTACGTAGTTTAAGAGGCGTAGAACAAAGTCATTTGTGCGAGTAACGTTCAATGTGTCGGTCACGTTAAACATTTAGCCGACAAGAAGTCGAATAATCTCATGTTCGTTAGCGAAGCTCAGTGATTAACGTCGAGCTCATTAACGTTAGGAAAGGAAAAATTGCTAATTGTAAGTTTATATCTTTATTAAGAGTAAAATGCAAATGTTAGAAGGGAGTTTTGGTTTGCAAAAGTAAATAAGTAAGTAAGTAAATAGAACGTTAAATAGAACATTATCGTGACGTATTATAACCTTTTTTTTTTCTATGGGGTGAATCGGTATGGAACAAAACAAATATGGAGGACAACGTTTATGACAGAATTCCTCGGCGATTTATCAGAAATAGAACAGAGGACAATGGGCATTAGTCGGCAAACTATCGTCCGGTTTGTTTTACCCCTTGCCTAGAGATATCTCGCGAACTGTGCTAACGAAGGTCCGAAAGCGTTTGGCCTCGTAATGACGAGGCCAACGTCGTAAATTACGACGTCGAGCGCAAGAGAATTCTCTGAAAGCTCGGAGAGGAAGGGTGGCGGAATCTCCTGGAGAGGAGAAGAAGAGGTGGAGAGAGATGAGGAGAGAGGAGAGAGGAGAAAGAGCGATGGCGATGAAAGGGAAGCGTCGACTCGCGAACGACGCTACATAAACACAGGAATAGAGAGACGATCATATATATATATATATATATTATATATATATATATATATATGTATGTATATATGTATGTATATACGTGAATACTCAAACACTCAAACGATTCACCCTTTGCAATGGTGAACGCGAGGTACGTCCGTCCGCAGGCATTATATGCTGGAAACGCAGTTTGTCTTATCATTCGCCATCTAGTAATGGCGAGGAGCATTGCTTTACGACTAATGGACTTGCACCGGTAAATCACCACAGCACAATGCTCGCCGCTCTGCGGACGATTTACGAGCTTGGTCCAAACGCGGCATCGATCCTACGGTGTATAAAAGATCCGAGCTAGACTCCCTAGAACCGAACTCGAAAGTGGATTTCAAGCTTTACGGCGTAAGAGAGTTTTGTAAAAGATAGATAAATAGAGATGGATAGATAGATAGATAGATAGATAGAGAGAGAAAGAGAGAGAGAGAGAGAGAGAGAGAGAGAGAGAGAGAGAGAGAGAGAGAGAGAGAGAGAATTTCCTATCGAAATGCGAGATCTCTATACTTCGAAGAGTTAGTCTCATAAATCATAAGGAAACTTTGCCAGACTTAAATTCTTAACACCTTTTAAGTAGATAAACCAATCGTTATCGGTGGATATTTTTCATGTTAATCTTTCACACGATAACACCTATGACTATTCTCGACGTTTACGTACTTATCTGGAAGAAAAAGAGAAAAGGAGCAAGAAAAAAAACAAAAAAAAAAAAGAAAAAAAGAAAAAGGAAGCAAGAGATTTTCACTGCCTTTTCAAAGGAAACAATTTTATTTTAATATTTAATGCATATTTTGAAATATTTATGCGTATATTCGTTCGAAGGATCGCATCGAACATCACGTAAATTTCGATTTTATTAGCTACGATTGTATCTCGATTGTTTTTCTTTTTTCTTTTTTGTTTTTTTGTTTTTTTTTTTTTTTATATTATTATTTTGTATTTTGTATTTTTTTTTTTCATCTTTGGAGAATTTCAATCATCGAAGGACGAGAAGAAACTCGCAGTTATAGGAACGTCGCTCGATCCCGGATGCATCGAAGATCGAGGCGCGATCCTCATCTTAAAAAGTATGTACTTTCGATGCTGCAGAGCGAAAAGCACTTAGGGAACGCCTCGGGTATGCTGTGTAATAGTAATAATAACGTTATCGACGTTTTGTTCGAAGGGGACGATAAATGTTTATCGGCGAATACTCGTGCCCACGTAAACGAGGTTCCGGGGGCGTGAGTAAATCTATAAAAGACGGAAATTTTTTTCAGCCGTAGGCTACGTAAAACTGCTACAGGATAACCGTGCGCATCCGAATCGGAAGAGAACTTTAACGGAAATATTGTTTCTTCGAATTCGTCAAATTCGAATTGTATGTACATTTATACTTTGTACATCGTGGTTCTTTTAAATGACGAAAAATCATAAAATTATCGACTAAAGAAATATCTGTCTTCTTAGAAAAATTCTATCTCATTGTGACGATCGAATATATTCCAAATTACATAGTACTTTTTGTACTTGTCAATAGCAACGTCGTAATGTTATAAGCGTAACAAAGAGAACGAAAAAAAAAAAGAAAAAAGAAAAAAAAAAAGAAAAGAGTTTTTCACCTTCGAAAAATATCATCGAAGGTGGATGACAATATCGAACGTTTTAAAAAATATTTAGAATATTTCGTGAAATTGGACGAAAATTTACAGGGGGAAGGAAGAAAAGGGTGAGGAAAAAGGGGTGAAGAAAAGAAGATAATAAAGAATTAGTAATTTCTCGATGGCTCCGTTTATTAGATAACGTTCCTTTTCTCGTTCTTTCTCACTTTCAACGATTCATCTTGAAGGATTGAAGTTGTACAAAGCCCAAGATAATTCGGTGTAGTTCTCGAACGAAGCTTCAAGACGATGGGCACTCGAGTATTGTGCTTCGAAGAGGTGGCTAATTAAATTATTTTCCTCGTTCATTCGACAGCGGGTGGATCCTCGTCGGCTGGTCTCTATCCGGTCAGTCACTACTTCAGGTCAAGCACTTCTTTCGAGGAGAGTTCTATTGTATCCGTCGACACATCGCTCGCCTTTCCAATTAGCGCGGCTTCGAGAAGGTGAAAGAGAAGGAGATTGCCATCTTTCGCGTCATTATTTCATGACTAACGCTGCTTTCCTTTTTATTCTTTTTCTTCTTCTTCTTCTTCTTCTTCTTTTTCTTTTGAATTTTACACCTGCGAGAATTATGTCTCTTTTTTTATTATGATTTTTTTTTTTTCTTCTTTTTTCTCACAAATTTATATAAAGATACCTTCAATTTTTCGCGCCATTAGGGCGCCCTCTCGTTAAAAATAAATTCTTTACCATCGAACTATTTAATAATCTTCCGAAATATTTTTCCCTCGTTATATTCGAAAATATGGCAACGTAAAAATTATAGGAATTACATTTCGTAGAGTACCTTATAATAAAAATAGTATTTCTATTATAAGGTAATTTTCTTCGGAAAATTGAAATTTTTATAAGATAGGTGGTGGGAAGAGAACGATGATGTTTGGATTTCGTGTATCTCTCGAAGGGAAGAAGAAGAAGGGCTAAGGATTGCGGCTAATGTGCCGTTGCTTGGAATTATAACGTTACGAATCCTTTTTTCTTTATGTCTTTTTCTCCCTTGGGTTTAAAAGAACAGAGAGGAAAGCGTCGTAGAAAGAAAAAAAAAAAAAAAAAAAAAAAAAAGAAAAGAAGAAGAAGAAGAAGGAAAAAAAGACAAGAACAAAAAATATGAAAGAAAAGAAGAAAAAATCGTACGCACTTTAGTTTCGCATTTCCGTGAGAAATATCTACTTGTCTATCTAATAATATGTTTCAAGTTGTTTAAATCGCATTAACCAACGTTTCTCTCTTTCTCTCTCTCTCTCTCTCTCTCTCTCTCTCTCTCTCTCTCTCTCTCTCTCTCTCTCTCTCTCTCTTTGTACTCTTTTATTTGTCTCTTTTCGATGTATAATATTAAGTTAATTATTTATGAAAGAAAGAAAGAAATAGAGATAGATCCGAAACGCCATTGAACTCGTTCTCCTCTATGATAGGCTTAAAATTCTTTCGAAATATAATACGAGAGATAGAGAGAGATAGAGATAGAGATAGAGATAGAGATAGAGATAGAGAGAGAGAAAGAGAAAGAGATAGAGATAGAGAGAAAGAAAGAGAAAGAGAGGAAGAGAGAAAGAGTGATCTTTAACTTCTGTCCGCAGTGGCTTCTGTCCATTAGTTGGATAAGATCTTCAGGCCGTTGAATTGGACCTTTACTCTCCCGACCCCAATTTGTATCTTTCTTCCCATCATCTTGGTACCTTGGTACCAGCTCCGAGCTTTGTCGGTATGCGAAAAATGATGCTGGAATTTTGCTGATAGGATCGCAGGTATGTCGCACCTCTCTTTCTAATCTCGTGCTTGTTATATAGGATGTCCGACTGTTAAAGGTGAAAATACACGATAGTTATGACTTGTTAAAAGTTGATTAGATATATAAAGATAAAAAAAAAAAGTGAATTAAATACATCTTCAAATTTAATTTATTGATTTAATTTATTGAAATTAATCTCGGTTGAGATTAAGGATAAAATTTATATTTAATGAGCCTTCGATGTGTTTCGAAGCGAGCTCATTAAAAAGGTTTTCTTCTTCTTTTTCTTTTTTCTTTTCGTTTTGGTTTTTTCTTTCTTTTCTTTTCTTTTCTTTTTCGTTTTTTTTTTTTTTTTGTTGAAATAGGTACTCCTTACTCGTAGCTGACCTTTGAATTCGTTCCTGCTATTAGCATGATCGATGGGATGGCTTGTTTGTTTATCCTTCTTTTCGTTGCCGCTTCCACGCTTTAATATAGGTCGATGTTCTCTGAAAGGAAAGTTCGGCGAGTGCAATCGCCTGTAGGAAGGATTAATTATTTTCTCAGTTATTCATCTTCACCGGTAACATTCATCAAGATGTCATTCGACTCATAAGATTTAAAGGCATGTAAAAGGGATTATTCGATGAACTTAGAGGCCTATACGATTTCATTTACGACTCTATTAACACGGAAATGAATTTAAATTTGTCTCGAAAGTCACATTGACGAGGAAAAAAGAAAAAGAGAAAGAGAAAGAGAGAGAGAGAGAGAGAGAGAGAGAGAGAGAGAGAGAGAAAGAGAGAGATGGAGAAAAAGAAAAAAAAGATGACGATAATAAATTTGTATTGGACAAAAATCAAATTAGAAAGAGATAGAAAGAGAGAGAGGAGAGAGAGAGAGAGAGAGAGAGAGAGAGAGAGAGAGAGAGATGATAGGTGCTCGATATATTATTGATAGTTTGATCGTTGATATTGCCTGAAATTTTTTGATGCAAGTTCATCGAGGAGAATCGGATAATGAGTTGGAAGAGACCTGGCGCCAGAGGCTTCGTCATGGCCTTATTCCGTTAAGGCCACTTTTTTTGTCGCTCGATCTTTTCAGACGATCGAGAACCGCCGTAAGATTTCCAAAATAACGTACCTCACCTGGGCGATAAAATGTATTTCCAAGCAGCGGAAAGACGTTGCTTCATATACTGATCGTGATTACGAGATAGCTCGTTGAGTACGTATAATGAACGGAGCCGACCGACCGACAAACAGATCGACCGACCGACCGACAAACAGACCGACGGACCGACCGACCGACTGACTGACCGACCGACAGACAGACAGACCAACAGACCGATCGTAGACTCGCAAAAAATTCGAATTGAGTTGAATTTTGAAGTATGATAATTTAAAACGATCTTCTAATATAATAATAATTGTCATAGTTAATCATTTCGAAATGATTGATCTAATCTGAAAAAGAAAAGAATTGGTACGTTGTGGTAATTCAATTGATATGACGGTTAACGAGTTTATTTCGAAGGTCATTTCAAAACGGATATTGACGGGTCAAGATTGGGGAATAAAACGAACTTAGTTGTTGTGCGAGCTTACGAATCGATTCTATAAGAGTTGATTTTACTATTGGATTATGTGAAGAAAATCAAAGTTTTCGACTCGCAATGGCTTTGGTGTTAGACGAGGGTCTGACTGCCGCTTCATTGTGTGATGACGTTCTCTCTCTCTCTCTCTCTCTCTCTCTCTCTCTCTCTCCGTCTCTCTCCCTCTGTCTTTCTTATATAGCTTAACCTCTCTTTCTCTTCCCTTCGATAAAAGATAGCATTCGTAATCGCTTTTAATTACTTTATAATGAGGCCGTGATTTGGCTCTCCCTGACTGGCGCCAACATCGGAGGCCAAAGAAGGAAGACAAAAAGGAAAAGAAGAGATAGGAAGATGAAAAAGAGAAGAAGAAGAAGAAGAAGAAGAAGAAGAAGGGGTTGGGGGGAGGGACTTGCGGTTTCGTGGCAGCTTGATGGCTTTATACTCCGGTTTTATAACGAACAAAAGAGTATTTTCGACTTAAGCCACGATGTTTTTTCTTTATTTTCTTTTTCTCCTTTTTTTTCTTTTTTTTTTTTCTTTTTTATTACTTTTTTTTTCTTTTTTGTTTTTTTTTTTTTTTTTAAGAAACAACAAGCGACGAGAGAAATTCACCGAAACCTCATCGCGTCTTGACTTATTTCGTAACGTTTCACAGATATCTCGTAGAAAGAAAAATATTCGATTGTCGTTCAGCGTTCGAATCGGCAAAAAATATATTATATCGTATCAGTATTAATTTGCTTCTTTTTTTTATTTTTTTATTTTTTTTTTT